CACAGGCAGGACGGCTGCAGGGCAAACCGGCGACGAGGCTGCCCCGGTGCGGCATCTCCCAGGCAAACACGGCCCGGCCTGCGCCAGCCCGGTGTGATGTTAACTCTGAATCCTAATGGAGGCGGTGGAAATAAGCGAGGTTGTGTATTGCTTCCCAGCCGAGAGCTGATTAGGGGAAGGCGGAGCCTGGGAAGGGTGTTACCTTTCCTCTAATTTAGCTCTGATTTGTCACTGCTTGAGGCAGTTTTGTCTCTAGCCCCTTAGGTGTAGTACCATCAACAAAAGAAAGAATTCTATACTGGTTTATCAGCCGACCTCCTTAGCTGAGATTCAGGAAGAAGAGCTATTCCACTTACATGTTCAGCCTCCACTGATCTGACAATGCACAGGTGGGAGAGGTTGGTTACAGCAGCTGAGTGCAAGCATTGCTGATTACTTAGTAAATAAATAGAGCTCACCAGTGAGCTGCAGCACAAGGCTGCTGCTGGGATTCAGCCATGCCAGGGAGTAGTCAGTAAGTGGGGATGAGGTGAGTCACACAGGTGCTGGCCCTACAAGACATGGCCATGAATGATCCCGTTGCGAGGCACACCCTTGCCTCTGAAATACTCTTTCTTGGCTTCCTCCTTTTTCCTGCGTTAACTTGTCATTTCATTGGTTATTTCCTTTTGGGGTACATGCATCCAGACTATTAATCTCTCCTCTAACAGAGAGCAGTAGTTCTTTTACTGCATCATTACACAGCTCCTGGCAGTGAAGAAAGCAACACCAAGAGCTCCTTTTCCCCCAGGTGTGAGGGACTTGTAGAGGGCTGTGACACATTGCTGGGTCCTCTTCCTATCTCTGCATGCCCAGCTTCTACAGTCACAAAAGCATCTCTAGCTTGTTCCTTACCACATATATTAGGATAGAGAGTGACATCAGTAAAAATCCAGGTTCAGTAGCTATAGATGAGTCTCTCTCTCCCCTCCCTGGCTGGGGCACTGTAATACAAGGGCCAGCAATGCTAGTGATTGCAGCAAAGCACTGGTCAGGCTGCCCTTTTGCTTTTATATCAGGTAACCTGCAAAACAGAAAAATGGGCTATGTCTGTGTGCTTTCTAAGGACGTGTAAAATAGCTGGAGGCTTTTTCTATCCTGTTAGTTTGGTTTTAGGATTGGTTTGTTTACAGTTTGACTTCCTAAAATCATTGTGAATGCAGCCACGACGCCTATCTGTCTGCCTGACCATCTGGCTGCTTTGCCGCAGAGTTCATATCTGTTGCTCAGTTTTGGTACAGCCTAAGGTGGATGACTCAAGAAAATGAAAACTCCTTGTGAAAGACGAGCCTTTGGGATGGGTACAGGCAGTGTACAGGAGCCAGACGTGAGGAGGTGCAGGGAACACTTTTGTGGTACTTGCATATGGTACCTAGCCCCAGTGAGCCCACGCAGGCAGCTCAGCTCTGGCCATCCCTCGCTCTGCTTCTGCAGGGACTGTTCCTTTACACGAGGTACACCCAGAAGTCCTGGCTAGCTCTCTGGTTGCAGGGCTGGGAATGTGATGTGTTCACCACAGGACCTTGCACAAACCCCCTGAATTAGTGCTGCAGCCATACCTGCCTGGTCAGCACACAGCTACCACAGAAGTCAGTGTTTTACGTGGCTTCTGACCTGGCGCGTCACGGTTAAAGATGCACATGTAAACCCAACAGTAACTGACATCCCTTCCCACAGAGGCTGGCATTTGGGGTTTCTTGTCCTACTTAGCCTGTGAGGTCATCTCATCTGAGAGAATCACAAAAGACCCTTTGTAAAACAGGGGACTCGGGTGTGCTCCTAAGCTCCCAGGTCTGCATGCATGCCACAGCAGCTACACCCCAACTCCATGTTACAGAGATCTGTCTGTAAACCAGCTTTTTCTTTGCTTTTACAACTTCATTTCTTCGAGCAAAAGTCACAGCCTGCCTATGGCTCAGGAGGGAGAACTGGTGAGCTCAGGCCAAATCATGAGGTGGATCCTCAGGTGCAGGACACTAGGGAAGCCCATGGTAGACACCTACTGCTCAGTACGGACACAGCCTTTCAAAGAGCCCCAGACTAATACAAAAATGCATCGCTACAGGAACAACGGGAATAGACTTTATTTAATAATTTGTACAAGGAACACAATAGTAATTCAATAATTCCATTTATTAATTGTCAAATAGTAATCCACTGCATTAAGAAACAGAAAATCAACACAAAAATAAGTTGCAGTTTGTATATGTGTGTGTGTGTGTGTGTGTGTAACTTAAAATGGCAAGAGCAAGAACAAAAAATAAACCTTTAAATAAGTATGTTATATACAGTCAGTATCATCATGTTACTTTGCTGGATAGATTAATTTGGTGTTATCCAATCTTAGCAACAGGCCTAAATATTGCTGCAAATAACTGGAGGGCAAACCCAAGGCAGAAAAACAATCCATAAATAAGATGCAGGATTAAAGGTAGCTCCTGCAGAAAAGAAACAGTGGTGCTTTGTGTCATATCTGAAAACCTTTCATAATGGATATTTTGTGCTAAAACTCTTTATGTGAACATACATGGAATTCCATCATTTAAATAAAAGTGGAAAAAAAAATCCCAACCTTTCACAACTGCCTTTTTTTCCTCCCTTCACTCAATGTGTTTAAATTATTTTTCTATACAAGGTAAGTACATTGTCTGTACAAAGTTAAATATACATATTTACAGTCAAACTTCTGAGACACTGAGTCTTCTCTTCCACCCACCTAGGTGGAAGACAAGCCTATTTGATTTCAAATCCAGGAGCATGGCTAGTTTATCAAAACATTGCAAGTTGTGCTAACAGTTAGCTGTAGTTACTCTTAATAAATCTGTATAAAAGCATCAGCATAAAAATAGGCATTTTATATTATTAAATACGGCTTATGACAAAATAGCAATTGAACCCTTTGCTATTTGTATGGTAACTGTAGGAATCAGAGTCTGATAGAACCGGTTTTGTGTATGCTTTTTCTTAATAACAAAATGTCTATCAAAAGAGTATTCATAGTGGATTTACAGGCAAGCATACAGCCAAGCCATGTTTTTTTTCATCAAGGAAATATGAATCTATAACTGGTAATAACTGCTGGGAACAGCTTTCCAAATTTATTAGATTTTTTTATATGACTAAGAGACAGCCAAAATGCATGTATTTGAGACCTACCACTGACACTGTAACAAAAAAAAAAAAAAAGGCACCCTCAGTGATATGTGGCTTAGATTTATTAGAGCCTCTAAGATTTAATGCCAGGAAAGAAGCAAAGTCTTCATCCCAAAGAGTATGCTTGGAGAAGTGTGTCATCCTTTAGGGCCAGCAACAGGGCAGAAGGAGCAGAGAAAGTGAATGGCCATAGGACTCAAACAGGATTTGCTCTCACCAACGTTCTGTTTATTAATTCTATCCATTGTGCAGATAAATGCCAAAGCCAGGTGGATTTCTCTTTAAAAAACAGGACTCAGTTTGTTTTGATGCACACGGTACACTCACACACACACACCCCCTTGCACAAAAGAAAAAAAACTGGCAGCAATAGGCAATATGTTATTAAAGGGTTTGGGATTTTTGCGCGTTTGCATTATGCTGTGGCTGAACTCTCTGGATTAAACCACCAGTCCCAAACTCCTTTTCTACACAGAGTTTTGCAGTTTAACCATATCAGCTGTCTTCTACCTCTGATGGGTCTTAAGGTGTGTGACATGAAGGAACGGTTTTCTATGGAAGGGGAAGGCAGAGCAAAGTAAGTCTTCAGCAAGGCAGAAACCAGGAAGAAAGCCTGGCTTCCCTGAACCTTGTGCCAGTGAAAGGGAGCAGCTGCAAGGCTGTGTACTGCCCCAAAGCACTATCCTATCTCAACACACAAACAAAACCTATACCGTGTGCTTCCCTGAAGCCTTCTCAGAGGTAAATACTCCATACAAATTTAAGATTATCATCAGAACTTTTGCTGGAGAGTGGAGAGGAATACAGAAAGGCAGCACTGTAAACTAGAAACTGTCTCTTCTTCAGCAAACAAATCACACCCTGAATTTGTGGAAGCAGGGCTACACATTCAACTCAATACTGTACCACATAACCACATCCTCCTAACACATCTCGTCTCTTGTCTATTACATTCATAAATTGTCTGTTTCTTCACTGTTTAAAAACACCATCTGGAAAACAAACCCACCACAGTCAGGATGGGATCACTGTTATTTTACAGGTACAGAAGCTTCACGTAGTTGCCTGGGAAGGTTCCAAATTGCCTTGTTCTCCTGGACGTACCTGTTGCAAAATAAAACACCAGGAAGCCAGAGTAAGATGGAGCCATGCAAGGAATGGTATGGATTAAAAAAGGTAGAGGTGGCAGCCTCCTCTGCCTGCAGGTATTGTTTTGTAAAACTAAATAGGAGTCCTGGTCAAAGAGCCTTTTGGTGTAGAAAAGATCACAACTAGTTCTGCTACTGATCATCTTTGGCCTTCACTTCACTTTTAACAATCAATAAGGTGCTGGTGAAAGCTCATGGGCCTATAGGCTAGGAGCAAACTCCTATCAATGTAAATGAGCTAAATCTCCCTTAGAAGAAATAACAAGCCTAGATTTGCAGTGTTGAGATGGAGAATGCTGTCCAGACTTGCATTCTTTGAAGGTAAAGGGCTAGATTGTGCTAAACATACAGCTACAGATGAGGCTAGATTTTCAGGGACTGCAACTCCCATCCTTCGTCCCCTACTTGCCATTTTCTGTAACTTGTCACGGTGCTCTCAGCTTTGGAAAAGCTACAGAAATCTAGTTTTTCTTGCTTCCCTCTGTTGCTTCCCTCCTTGCCATCTGTGTGAGCAAGAAGGATCAGGAGGAAGAGAGGAATGGGGGAAAAAATGAAAAACTAGAGACCTAGCAAGAAAAACAAAGCTCCACCACCCTGCACCCTAATTTTAATGTTCTTGTTGGGAAAAGATGCGAAATTGTGAAAAAAGTTGATATGATTTTTTTCACCGTTTTGACCCTGCAGATGAAAGCAACTTCCAGATGCTCTGCAAAATTGCTCATCTGCATCTCAAAAAGGTCTGCTGACAGACAAGTATCACACTCACCCACAAACCAGCCGTCATCACATTTCTCCATGACATCAACAATGTCACCATCCCTCAGTTCCAGCTCATCATCGTTCTGAGGAGTGTAGCTGTAGAGGGCTTGGTAGCTAACTCTAAAACCAGGAAGATACTGCATGTTAGCCACTGTATTTCCCTGACATCCCTTCAGAAGGAGATGTCTCCCTTCTCTTTTCTAATTCCTACAATATCTTGTTCAGTGTAGTCTGGACCTTGTTTTCCATTTGAGAGGTGGAAGCCAACTGCATTAAATTGGCTGTTGTCATAAGGCCATGGCAGTAAAAAGTGTCACACCTGCACTGTGTGGGATATGTAGAAAGCTTCTGTTTCCTTTTTGCCATGTAGTTGTCTCCATAGACTGTAACAACCAGAGTCTTCCTAACATGTAGCACCTAGAGAATGTTTGAGTGCAGATACCCTACCAAAGCCTGGATATGCTCATTCTTGGGCTAAATGAGACACCTGTTCCCCTGCCCAGGCACATAGGCAGGGTCATGAATGACAAAATGGCAGAGCAAAGGACTTTAGAAAAAGATACTGTCTACTCTACTGCACTAAGGTTGCTGGATAAATCATGGCTGAGGAGGAATAGTGCAAACAAAATCTAAGGTTGAATCCTTCCCTGAAGATACCAATTGCACCAGAGGCACTTTGTTTATCAGAAAGGAACCTTGCAGAGTGGAAACAATCATAGAATTACAGAATGGTTTGGGCTGGACAGACCTTAAAGATCATCTAGCTCCAACCCCCCTGGCCCTGGGCAGGGACACCTTCCACTAGACCAGGTTGCACAAAGCCCCATCCTGCCTGGCCTTGAACACTGCCAGGGAGGGGGCAGCCACAGCTGCTCTGGGCAGCCTGTTCCAATGTCTCACCATAAAGAATTTTTTCCTTATATCTTATCTAAAGCTACCCTCATCCAGTTTAAAACCATCACTCCTCATCCTATCCCTACACTCCCTCATAAAGAGTCCCTCTCCACCTTTCCTGTAGCCCCCTTTAAGTACTGGAAGGCCGCTATGTCTCCCCAGAGCCTTCTCTCCTCCAGGCTGAACAACCCCAACTCTCCCAGCCTGTCATAAGGGAGGTGGTCCAGCCCCCTGATCATCTTCGTGGCCTCCTCTGGACCTGCTCAAGCAGGTCTACGTCCTTCTTACACTGGGAGCCCCAGAGCTGGACACAGCACTGCAGGTGGTGTCTCTCAAGAGCAGAGTAGGGATGTGATTCTCCCCCTCGACTCTGCTCTCATGAAACACCACTAGGAGTATTGTATCCAGCTCTGGGGCCCCCAGTATAAGGGCAAATCTTTGGGCAGATCTGGGGAGGGTTGTATCCCCTGCCTTGGCGTAGTGAAAATAGAGCTGATGTGAGACCTCCTGTTCTGCACAAAGGGGCAGGCAAAAGCAAATGTTCCTTTCAGGAGCCAACTGCCGAGGAACTTCAGTTCTCAACAGACAGTGCAGGCTACTATTCTCAAAACCATCAGTGAAAGGCCCCACCAAGCTTAACACCAGCTCCAGGTTTAAATCCCACCAAACAGCTTTGAAAATCTCAGCCTTTATCTCTCTGATCATTCAGGCACCAATTCATCTGTGAAACTGGCCAACAACACAGCAAGTGCCATTGGTTTTGGGACATCTCACTGTACTGTGAGAAGCTAAGAAGAGGGCTGAACACATTGACCCATACCATATCAGCCAGGTGTAGCCAGTGGACATTAATTTGTCTCCAGCTTCAAGACACAAAGACACTGAGTCTGTCTCAATAACCAGCATGAATCAAGTGCTCAAAGGAGACCCAGTCCTGGATCATGAGGTCATTGTTTCAGGTGCTACACAGACACAAAGATTAAACTAAAGGTTTTAACTAAAAGGTTTAAACTTCCCATTTTAAACTACTCATTATGATGATATGGCTATTTTTGTTCTTTAAGTAAAAGTTGATGATTTCTCATAATTATAATTTAACTCCTGAAATGCTGAAGTTTTCACACCTCCCCATCTTCACCACCAGAGACAAGGCCCCTGGAAGAGATGGGAGCCAAAAGGACTTACATGTCTCGTGGTATTTGACTTCTGTCAGGGCTGGCTCCTTGCTGCTGTGCTTGAGGTTGCTGAGAAATGATGAGAGATGGTTTATGGTCATTAGAGGTCACCTTGTGGCGAGAGTCAAGAGGCTGAGAAATAGTACTGCAGTAATGAACAGACTTTTCTGCAATGTTTATGATCTCATTGCAAACAGCTTCCTGCATGGTAGGCAGCATTGACATCCAAGAACACCCAAAGGACAGTCAACAGGGGGGAGGGAGGGAAAAATATAGACAAGAAGAGATGGGACATTCCAGATGCAGCACATTAAGTCCAGTTAAAAAAAAAAAAAAAAAAAAAAAAAAAAAAATCCAGGTAGTGGAGTGCAGAAGGGATCCAGGTGTAAGCATGGAAAAACAGGCAAGATACAGAAGAATTTGGCATTTAGTTTGAAGATTTGTAACAAATACATATACATATATTTTTAAAAGCAGCAGCATGAGAGGTTGCAATTAGTTATGCAGTGGCACCATTACCAATGCTACGAAGTCAGTTCAAGAATGCAAGGCAGGCCACTCTATTCATGCAGTTTCCTTCATTTAACTTATACCCAGGGACTGGCAGCACAATTAGCCCAACTCCTTATTGGCTATGACAGTTTTTCTAATTGCTAAATTCCCTTTTTCTGTTGCAAACAAAACAATATATGCAAATAAATAAATATGTACCTACTTTGCAGCTCAAAACAGTGCTGGAATTTTATCTCTACTGAGGTGTTACTGTTTGGGTGAAGAGAGTCTAGGACTACACATCTGATTTAAACAGTGGCCTTACCACATAGCTCTTTTCAGACTCTGTGAGATCTGGTCCAGCTCTCAATGAATGGTGGGAAGGCTGTGTGATCACCAAGCAAATGATAAGGAAGACATTTTAGCAGATGTTATATTGGTCAGAATTTTAAAAAATTAAGTGGAGTGCAGACAACAAAGGAAAATGAACAACTCTTCCCCTCCCCACCCCAACACCATGTTTCTTGGACAATAGTCTTTCTTTTACACCAAGAGACATTTAGGCTACAAAAATGCAACTGCACTGCAGAATACTGCAAAGAGAAAGGTGACAGGAAAATAGAAGCTTAGAGCAGGGAATCAGAGTGGAAGGTTATGGACACCGCTACAACTGGAAATGGTACATAGTGTCATAGTGCATTCCTGTAGGGTGAAAAAAAGAACAGGGACAGAAGCACATATTCAAGACCATCAAACTTGAAAGGCCAAAGGCATGCTGAGAGGAATCTGCTGCTGTTTAGAAAAGTCCTCAATGATTTTGACACAGGTGAGAAAAGTAACTCACTTGCTTCTTAAAAAAAGACCAGCTCACGTCAGCCCTCAGAAGGCACAATGACGCGTAGCCCCATCACAATCACTCTAGCTTGTACCAAGCAAGGATCTGAGCTGCTCTGTTAATTCCCACAGTGAGGCAGAGCTTCAGGTCAGAGGAGGCCCTCACTGGAAAACCCAGCTCCAACCACCAGCCTCTGCCCTGCCTCCCTCCCCAGTCACAAGTCTTCAAAGGGACTTGCGTGTCCCAGGGCACAGCAAGGAAAATCAGGGTGTTTGGGGTTGGTGGTTTTATGGGGAAGGTCACTGAGAAAACTGCACAGGTAACCAGAGCCTGGTTTTGCACTCTTTTTGCACATTCAAACACCTACTGAAAAGAAGAGGCATGCTTGTGAGCAAATGGGACGTCTGAACTAGTGTATGGTTATTTATACTGCCTGCAGGACTGCTTGACAAAGTGGACTGGATAAGATACAGAGCACTGTCATCCTCTATGATCATTCAACACAATTTTCAACGCAAATTCCAAAGGCCTCAAGTTTTATACTTTCATTCCTCCTCTTTATTCACTTCAACAATGTCCTTCAGCAAAAGGCTTGCCTTCTCATGGCATTGCAAGACAGAGCAGAAGCAGAGAATAAAGAGGTTTGTGACACCTTCAGCCCAAACATGCTCAAAGCATTTGGAGAAATGCACAGTGATGAGCTCATCCCTGCCTAATTCTCGTTCTCAAAGGTCTTCTGAACCACATTTTGGACTTCTGGGGCTGTGCCTATCACTGTATTAAAGCAAATTGTCTCTTTTCTGGATGACTGTGACCCACTCTAGATCAACCCAACCCCACAGCAGTCAGCTGTACTGTCTGGGGCTGGAATCTGGGATCACTGCACTAAGAAACAAAACTCTGTTTCCATGTATATTTCTATAGAGAGCAAACTAAATGTCAGTTGGAGGGGCTAATTGCAGTGGAATTTGCATTCAAAGCATTTACTGTGTAGCCTAAAATCATGACAGGATTTCTTGAAGTTATTCCTGCCTATCATCAGTCCTGAAAGGCAAATAGAATAGTTAGAAATTTAAAATTAATATTGTGCAGACCCAACTGGATTTAGTGCATCAAATCTGATGATATCAGAGCTAACTCAGGTGGTCAAGTAACTGGGAAAACCAATTTCCAGACTGAAGTGAGTGTCAAATGTAAGAATTTTTTTTTTTTTTTTTTTAATTCAAGAAAGTGCTTCTCTGCTCCATACTAATAAACTGACTGATGGAATTGCTCCATGAGCTCCTAAGACCATATGGTTCACTTCTCATTGATTACTTGTGACCTCCCTGACCAACTTTTCCTCCAAAAAGCATTAATAACTATGAATTAAATTAGTTATTTGAAAGCTAAAAAAATAATGCTACGTCTGAATGCTCCATGGTAGAGGCTTGTATGTATAATACCAGGAGATGCAGCCTACCAGCATCAGAAACTTATCCACGTTCCCTTTCCTGGCAGGATCCTCATGGGGACTTCCATGAGGCAGCTGGGCAGGGGGAGAGGCCAAGCAGTCCCCTGTCCTCCTAACAGCCCCCAGTTCCCAACAAGACACACAGCTAAGTGGATGCCATCTGGCCTCTGCTTCAGAGAACCAGGCAACTCCTACCAAAGCAGTGGGTGTCTCTGCACTAACTCCTAAAGCTACAGCAGAGCCCTACATGAGGTGATGAAACACTCCAAAGCCAGCAACTATGAGGCATTAGCCAAACAGGATGAAAAACTGACCAGATCAGATCCTATAATTTTAGGCTATAAATGCACCACCCCACTGCTTCAAACAAGTAACCCTGACAGCATGGCTTAAATGGCTTTTAAAAAAAACCAAACAACCAAAAACCCCCGAACCCCTACATTATTCTTGCAGGGAGAGAAGAGAATAAAGGAAAAAGAAAATGTGTTATAGGTCCAAAATGTTTTTTCACGCATGGGTTCAGAAAGCCCATGTACTACTACAGTGGTGGCTGCATGTGCCAAAGATGGCCAAGGAATCAGTGGGTGTGGGGCGTAGCTCCAAAGTATAAAACACTGAGGTTCCCCTAAAACATTGAGCCAGCCCAGCTGCTGCTGGAGATAAACTGAAGGCCCTAAAAAGTGACCAAGTACTCACAGTTCATGAGGACAACTCAACTCATATCCCCTCAGTCACACTACGTGCTTTGTTAAGACTAAGTGAATAAACTCAAGCAGATGTTTAAGCATCTATGTCTCCACATTTACAGACTATACAAATATGCAGTACAGTCAGTCCTGAAGCACAGCTGGCCATTGGTTTCACCTCGTGTGAAGTTTGAGGATGGATCTAAAAAGCACCACAGGTTTGTAAGAATACCAGAAAAAGGTTCTATGATAAAAGCCTAGAAAAAACCTGGCAGGCTTTAACTGTTAGGAAGAAAGATGCTGGGGCTACTCAGTAGTGCTCTCTCTGCTCCTAGCTAAGCAACATTAGTGTGTCTATCCATTGCAGCTCTTGTTTTTCACATCTTCTTCCATTCCTTTCTGGTGGGAGTTAAAGGACTACATAAGCAAAGAGAAAGCTAAGCAGAACAGACTAACAGACAGACAAGACAGACAGACAAATCAGTATCCCCTCAGAGAAGGGCACACATCAGCAGTGATGGTCCCACACATGGATGGAAAGCCATGAACAGGGAGGACTCTCCAGCCCAGCCGAAAGGAAAATGGAAAACCTCTGCACACACCAAGCCCTAACTCTGGTGAAAGCAAGGGGAAAGGTGACCAAAAAAGCTCTCACAAAGGACACTGAAAAGGCTGCAGTGCGGAGCAGCCTGACTTAAAGGCTATCAGAGTCAATGGAAAGTCTGCTCCTGGATCAGAAGCTGAAGGCTGTATTCCATGGGGAGCAGGTACCAATGCTTGCTGCAGGTTGTGCCACTCTGACTTGGACAATATATGTGCTGGGCAGAAACACTTCTACGATGAACCTGTGGAGCAGCAGAAAACCACTGGAGGGGATAAAAGCTTACCTTGGAGATAGTGCTACCTCATGAACATGCTAAATAAGTGTAGCTAGTCTGTGCTGGGGAACATGGGGTCTGAGCATCCTCCCCATACACTCTCCTCTCTACTAGCACAAAGCAGGTTAAACTACTCGCTGCTCTGCCTGAGTGGTTTTGTACTGGTGGAAAGGAGCAGACAGCCTTCCTCTGACATCCCTCACACTGCTGGGCAATATAGGGACCCGCATCTAGCCACTCCTGCCTTCCCCACCTCAGAGCCACTGTCCAGCCCCAGGGCCAAAGCTGCTGCACTGCTCACACATTCACTAAACACCAATGCTGACTGTCACACTGTGCTAACAGGACCTCAGAGTAAAATAGGAATTAAACCAGAAAATTCCTGAGGGTCCCCTAAAATAAATTAATTTGATAGATTACATTACTGTTTCATATCATGTTTTACTGGAATATTGAAATAAATTATCTGTAAGTTGTACTTGAAATATCTTTCACATGCTGTCAGGTCATTCTTCTTTCTTTTTAGTTTGGACTGCAAAACTAAACAAAAGGGAGTAAATTCAGAATAGCTAAAGAGCCATCACACTTTACATTATTACTTAACAGAATAGGCAAGAACAGAGTCCTTACACAAGCCCTGTACCAAAGAGGTCTTAAACCTGCAAAAAAACCTGAGTCAAAATTTCATACTGGGGAGGTTCTCTATAATGAGAAAGAAAACTAAA